TGTTGGCCTTTGGTTGAAAGTCAAATATTTATCTTTTATTATACTTATTATGATTGTTCTTTCTTCATTACATTTGAAAACCATACCTTTAACCCTGATCCAACTCTCAGAGGAATTCAGTAAATCTGAGACACTGAAGTGTGGTAGTTCATGCTGGCTCCTTGCAGCTGAACATGTAAAGCATATGGGACAACAATTCTGTGGCCCCAAAACCTTCCCAGTTTATTCTCAAATTCCTCAGACAAAAAAAGAAGTTACATTTTCAGAATACAAACATGTACTTTCAAGAGCGAAATAGTTAAATATCTCAGCCAATTTAGAAACAGCATCAACTGGCTCCTGTTTTGTTTTTGGGTTTTTTTTTGCAGGATCAGGTTTAATTCTTTTTGCGTTCACACGCACACAAACACACTTCCCCCGAGCTGTCAGAAAGCATCAGACTGCCCGATCTGCATATGAATTTTAAAATCTTTTGTGAACCACAAGGACGTTTGCTGCAGGCACTATGATTTCATCATCACCATCATAAACAAGTATAAAGCCACTCAACCCCTGCTATTCAAACCAAAGCTAAAAGATTATGGTACTTTGAAAATGGTTAGGAGAATTTTAATGGCCTAAATTCACTTGGATCCATTTTCCAAGTCACGGTATTTTGCAGTTGGGCAATCATCTATTTACTGCACAAGAACTACTCCTAGCTGACACCGAAATAAGGATGCGATTCTAATCAAGAGGTTTATAAAATGCAGATACTTTATGAAATGTTTGTAAACAAATTACATTGTCAGATGAAAATATTCTGATCACTAATGTGAAGATGGTGTCTTTAATATTGAATGGTAACTCTAATTCTTGGACTCTATGAAACATAACTATGTTATCAATTCTACATATAGACATCCTGAGTAAATAATAGATGTAGGAAACTGGAAGATTTTCTATGGTACATTTCAGATCTCCTGCTAATAGGGCCTTAGTCTCTTTAATGAGATGAGAAACAATATCATTAATATCACCAGGAATTAATATTTAGTCCCTTATGGTAGCTAACAGAGTTAAAACCATGAAGAAATGCTAACAGAGTTAAAATGACAGAGATGTATTCCTTTTCTAGATTCACTAGGATATCAATATACAAAATTTTATTTGAAATTCGGTCCAAGTATTCTTTCAAGTTTAAAGCCAAATTTAAGTTTTTCAGGGTTTCAAACAAACAAGCAAATACAAAAGCTAATTCTGCACCTAGCCAGCAAAATGGAATATAATTACTCTATTCAGTCAGAAGCTGTGACTAAGTGAGTCTAATCGAAATGCAAGGTAAGTGGGTTTCTGAGGTCTTGAATTATTGAACAAGAAATGTAGGGTCCTGGAGTTCAAGGGATGGAAAGATATCATTATCTTTTTTTTTTTTCCAGGAAGTCCAGGATGCCCATTTAACTGGCAAAAGCAGAATATACAAAGATTTTGCTTTTAAAGTAAATGAAATAACCCTCTTTTTGTTAGCTGCTCTTAAAGATGCATACTGCATACTTCATCTCGCCTTTTTTTCTTCATAGCATTTTTACATTATCACAAGTAGCATGATGTCACCAAAACAAACCAATTTCCTTCATGTAAGTGGAAAACATGTTTGCTGTAAGGTATTTCCATCAATGCCAGTGACACGCAGGGAAGTCTCAACAGCGTCCTCTTCCACTTCCAGAAAGGGGGAGACTGTTCATTCACACTCAAACTGAATTCTCTGTCCACTATTTCTTTGACTCTCTGGATTTATTCATAAACTCATTACAGGCACTATATTATATCCCAGAGATATTAGCACTTTCACCAGAAATAAACTGGAAAAAAAAAAGGCAACAGGAAGATGAACTCATTCTATTTCTAAGAGAAGCTGGCACAAAGGATACAACCATGTCTTCCACTTGGTGACTGGGCATCCCTACTTAGCAGTCAGTGATGGTCAGCCATCAGAGAATAGCAGGGTCTAGTGGAAAGGCAGGCTCTAGGGCTCTACAGTGAAGTCCTCTGCCCCTAGCTTGCATTTCCATTCTTGTCAGCTGACTCTCTCTGGGCCTCAGTCTCCACATCTGTAACATCAGGGAGTCTGCCGAGATGGTCTTCAAGGTCCTGCTAGCTCTAACAGTCTTTGACTTCACAATGATGGTAGACTCTTGAATACTGTTTTTGTCTTATCCTGTTATATTCAGAGCACTGGATCCTCAACAAAAAAAAATTAAAACGGGGTTTCTTCCTCAATTTGCCCAACTTTATGAGATTTTGTATTGGCGATCAGGCTAAGAATAGCCCGGAGTAACAGAAAATCCCCCGTCGGTCCTATCTTACGTCTACTCGCCCTTCCTCCTTCCCCCGACTGTTTATCCCAAATCACGGTTCTGAGCACACATTCAATTACAAGTTGTTCAATGATGCACATCACCATTTCCTTACAGAGGAGTACCAGCAAATGCTTCCCTCAAAACCCTTGAAAATTCACAAAGAAAAGTACATTAAGAGCACAGTACAATCAAACTTTGAAGCTGCTTCCTTTCCTAGCCTGACATCTCTGTATGCAGTGGATGCCGCTTCCTCCACAGATCCTTGCATTGGTGATGAAACAGAAAAGTTATGACCAGATATCAAAAAGCTATTAAATACTTTATTTTATCAAGACAACACCATTCTGCACACAAACTTTTACCCTTCCAGGGAACTCTTCATGGGCTGATCTATAACAAATGCCTAACCTATAAGTTTTCTAACCCCTCCAAACCACCAGAACATCACTTTCATCTGAGAAGCATCTTGAGCCACAAATGTAAGACCTGATGGTATTTAAATGGGCATTATAGGTACTTGGTGAGCTCACAAGCTATGGAAATCAATATGCATCTTCCATAGAGAAGTCCTGCAATAGATTTTTCCAGGAGAGAGTCAATTTGTAACTTTAGGAGAGGCATACACACCAGGGAAGTTTTAAGCAGGCTGCAAGTTAAAAAAAAAAAACAACAAATTATGGGGTCATGGAAACCGCTGCACTGCACTGCAGGAGGTGTTGTCTCAAAGAAATAGGGTCTAGATTGATGATATTTTTCAGGACTTGGCTAAAGGGAAAAAAGTTTAACATACTGTGCGGCTCCTGCAGTGCTCTGGGGCTTGGGGAAGGAGAGCTCACCAAGGTACACAGCGAAGATATTTCACACAGTGTTCCTGAGTGTTCTTGAATTTAAATGTGACTTGCTTTCCGAAGGATAAGGACATCCAGGGACCTCATGCTCTCCAGTTTTTAACAATTGTCTGAAATCATAAAAAGGATGTATTGCATACTTGAAATTCATCAGGAGAGTGGATCTCAAGTGCTCTCACCACCACCACCACCAAAACAAAAAAAAAAGTATGTGGCATGATGGAAATGTTAATTAGCTTAATTGTGATAGTCATTTCACAATGCTTATGTACATTAAAACATCATGTTACGTACCTTAAGTATATACAAGTTTTACTTGCGAAAAGAGTGAAAAAATGCATAAAATTAATCCATTTACCCAACAAAGTCTAAGCATCATTTAATGCTCTATACCCTTCTAGGCACCCTGGGTGATAGATAGCCAGGAAAGGTGTGTGCCGTCCACGAGGCAAAAGGGACTTAGAGAAAGGTGCGACAAAGCTATAGATTAATCTCAAACACAACTTATCCCCCCAGAATCCACTGATTAACAATAACCTTTCTATGTAACTAGAGAATCTTCTCAAAACAGCTATTATTTTCTCCCTTCTCCCAACTGTTTCTTGATCTCCTTACTTTTTATACTTTGCACAAATTCAAAAAAATAAGTTCTACATTAGTCAAGAGATAAATAATACAAAGGCTAAACATTTGTACAAAGTTTTACCTATTTCTATTTTAAGTGCTTCAAGCAATGATGAGGGAAAATTCATGAAAAACAAGCAAACTTTTGCTTTCTTGGGAGTGGATATAAGACAGTTGAAAATGGAATTTCAGTGGGGCAGAGAGCCACATTGCATGAATTTTAGTGTGTATTTAAAAGGCTGTTTTGGTGAGTTAAAAATGCCCAAGCACAAATGTCCCAGAAAAATAATGTTAGAAAAAAATGCTCTGGAGAAAAAAGAACAACCCTGTCTTGCATTTTGGATAATTTTTACCTTTGCTTATGGAATGCAGCTTTAAAAGGAAGTTTATACCCATTACCCTATGAGGGAAGCATGAAGTTATGGGGCTTTTATTGATGTCATTTTGTTTTGCTTTGCATGTTAACTCTTACTAAAAGTAAATTGGAGATCCCTCTTCCCCTAATGACTGAGGTTGAAGGGACACAGAATGTTGGAAAAGATTCACCTGTTTCAAAATCTCCCTATATGCCTCTGTTACAAAGAATGCAATTTGAAATGGCCAGAATTTTAAGTTAGGACATAACACACTAAGCAAAATGATGTGTTCACACAAAGGGCTTAGAAAAAGTATATACATGTAAAGGTGGCACTTACTGTCGTGTATGAATCTGGCCTTGAATCTGAGATTGACCAGCATCCAAACAACAGAATCTCAAGACTTTCAAGTCTTTGTTTTCAGAGCTGCCTTCTTTTAAAAATGAATATCGTTTCCTCACCTAGGAGGTGAATGTGTTGAACTTAGCCCCACAAGTATTCATAAGCAATATTAGAATTCAAAAGAGCTCAACTGATGAGATTTCTGAAGGAAGCCCCTATTTCATAGAGCTGAAGACACATATGAAATCATTTTCAGTTGCTATCTGCTTGCTTGCCATCAACTGGACTCATTTCTGCCTCTCATACTCACTCCACAGAGATGAACAGGAGTACACTACTGAAACTTAATTACAGAAATGATACCATGTTTTGCAAATAAGCCTGGTATGTTGCAAAACCAGGCAGCAGATGTTAGTGGATAAAGATAAAACTCCAAGAATGGACCATAGAACACAATTAGTACAGACCTGAACCACATCTTAGATACTCACCAGTGAAATGATTAGAAGTGGACTGAATGACACCATCAACACTGTCTGTACTGCCACAGCTAAAAACGCCATCGTCTGATTCCTGCACAGAGGAGCAGGGTGAGGAGCTGTCAATTTCTTGGAACTTCCTCTTTAAAATTCCGCTCATAGCTGCAGTGCAGGCACATGGACCTGTAACAGGAACGGGAGCAACATGGCAGTGAAGCAAGCATCTGACCGTGGATGGCATCGCCTAAGTCTCCAGATTGGTGTTTGGGGCTGTAATTTTTGGAAACTTATCTACCACATTATCACATCCATGTAGAAATTAGTCTCTCCATAATGCTTGAAAGCATTGAAAACAATTCTACCTTGATTCATTGTTATTTGCATTCTCATTCTGACAACAGTATTTTGTAAGAAAGAGTCAAAATTAAGAATGTGGCCTTGGAGCACTACAGACGGAAATGGGGTTCCATGTTGTGAAATGTCAAAGCAAGCATCTAATACATTTATTTGATTTGTGCTGGTAAATCATGTACTGTCACTGGGAGAGCCAGAGTTCAGGATGAATGAGATCACTCACTTGCCCGCTGTCATACCCGGAGCACACTGATTAGGGCATGTCTGCCTGGCTTGGGAATTCTTTTTTCTTAAGTACAAAGGCATTGACTTTCCTGGGGCTCTCTGTCTGTCAGAAATCAAATTGGTTGCTAGAAAAGGCTATACCTGCAGAATTTGGATGCCTTAATCACGTTGCCAGGCAATTCAGCAGAGCAACAGGGAATACTTGAGACCCATGCCACAGTGTTTAGCTGAATGGATTTTACACTGGAAAATCACAGTCCCTAAGTCTTTTACTGGATAAAATATTAATATAAGTTTCTTCGCTCTCTGTATCAACATGGTCGGCAGAAGCCATTCAGAGGTATCCTGATACACTTTTAAAATCCTGTTAGTGTCAATGTAGGTGAGTCATTAAACCTCTGAGAATAATAACTTCTCTGTAGCTATAGAGTTAACTGTTAAGGTGATCAGCTATTACAAACACAAATTCTTATAATGGCAAGTAACCTCAATGAGTAAAGAGGGCCAGATGTAATAAAATCATAAAGGCACCTTGGTCTTCTCTTCTGTCTACTGTTATTTGCAGCAAAGGTATCAAGAAATACTTTTCTACCCTAAGGAAAATTACAGCATAGGCCCAATAATACATGGTCTCACGCCAAGGGAACAGTCTGGATTAAGAACTGTGGTGAATGAGAGATGCATACCCAAGCCAAAGGGGGAAGTTTCTGCTCAGGTCTAGGTCATTTCAGCTCCGTGCTTTCCCAATCTAATCTACACTAAAATCTGGCCAATGCCCCATTCACATTCAGAAGCAGTCCTTTCAAGGTTAGGTTTCACATTCCCCATCCCCATCCCCCTTTCCCTTACTAAGTTTGTTTGTAAAATTTAAGGAGCTATTTTTAGATTACATTTGTAACTTTTTTTTCATTGACATATAATCTTATATTGGTTTCAAGTATACAACACAGTGGGTCAACAGTTACCCATATTATTAAATCCTCAAGCCTACTAGTTGGGTTATTATCTGTCAACATAGGAAGATGTTACAGAATCATTGGCTATATTCTCCATGCTGTAAAGCATCCCTGTGATCAACTTATATTATGATTGAAAATTTTGTGCTCCTTTATCCCTCAGTCTCCCCACCAACCCATTCCACCTCTCCCCATGGTAGCCACCATTCACTTCTCAGTGTCTATGAGTCCACTGTTATTTTGTTCATTTTGCTTTGTTTTGTTTTATTTTTATATTCCACAAATAAATGAATTCAGATGGTACCTTTCTCCTCCTGACTTATTTCATTTAGCATAATGCCCTCTAGGTCCATCCATGTTGTCACAAATGGCAGGATTTGTTTTTAATGGCTGAATAATATTCCATTGTGTATACGTACCTCTTCTTCATCCATTCGTCTATTGATGGACACTTACATTGCTTCCATATTTGGCTATTTTAAATAAAGCAGCAATAAACATAGGGGTGCATATATCTTTTCAAATCACAGATTTTTTTTTTCTTAGGATAAATTCCTAGAAGTAGAATTATTGGGTCTTGTGGTATTTCTACTTTTAATTTTTTGAAGAACCTCCATACCACTTTCCACAATGGTTGTACCAATTGACATTCCCACCAACAGTGCAGGAGGGTTCCCTTTTCTCCACATCCTCACCAACACTTGCTATTTCTTGTCTTTTGGATAGTGGCCATTCTGACTGCTATGAGGTGATATCTCATTATGGTTTTAATTTGCATTTCCCTGATGACTAGCAATGTGGAGTATCTTTTCATGTTCCAGTTAACTACCTGTATTTCTTTGTTTGGAGAAATGTCTGTTCAGGTCCTCTGTCCATTTCTTAATTAGGTTATTTGTTTCTTTGATGTTGAGGCATATGAGTTCTTTGTATATTTTGGATGCTAAACCCTTATCAGATAAATCATTTATGAACATATTCTCCCATACTGTAAGTTGCCTTTTTGTTCTGCTGATGGTGACTTTGGTATACAGAAGCTTTTTAGTTTGATGTAGGCCTGCTTGTTCATTTTTAATTTTGTTTCCCTTGCTTGAGGAGATGTGTCCAGGAAAAAATTGCTCATGCTTATGTTCAAGAAATTTTTACCTGTGTTTTCTTCTAAGAGTTTTATGGTTTCATGTCTTACATTTAGGTCTTTGATCCATTTCAAGTTTACTTTTGTGTATGGGGTTAGACAGTGATCCAGTTTCATTCTCTTACATGTAGCTGTCCAGTTTCTCCAACACCAGTTATTAAAGAGACTGTCTTTTCCCCATTGTATATTCACGGCTCCTTTGTCACAAATTAATTGACGATATATGTGTGGGTTTATTATCTGGCTCTCTATCCTGTTCCATTAATCTAAGGGTTTGTTCTTGTGCCAATACCATACTGTTTGGATTACTATAGCTTTGTAGTATGCTTAGATTACATTGTAATTTAAAGCCCAACTTGGACTGGCTGTACAGGATAGACAAAATGTAGTCAGATCTTTAACTTGCAGGGGTTAACAAAGAAAGAATCAAAGTATTCTCTTCCCCATTAGCCCAGCACAATACCTGAAATGCCTTGCTAAAGATACATCAGTTAGGGGAACAAACTATTTTACAACAGACACCTGCACAAATATACCACCAAGGAGTGGTGACATCTTCAGGCATCAGATCTCATCATGGGAATCCTATCAGTGCCCTTCTGGTAGAAAGGAACAAGTCTAAGTAGAGTGACTTTCTTTAAAAAGTAGCAATCTTGGCACTGGCTGCCCTTCTTGTGCCCCTCATTGACCTCACAGTGTCCCTCCCTCGGTTTTGGTAGTTACACTTCCCTGGGACTTCTTTGTTCAGGGTGTTCTGCTGACTTGCCTTTCTCTATTTCTGTAATTTCTCTTTCCTCATTTCCCCAGCTAGGACATGGCGTTCACTTCCGACAGACCTGCCTCTATCTCATTGCATCTTCAAAGCCTCAACTCCAAGCACCAACTGATTCATTCTTTCAGTATATCTCAGTTCAGACTGTTGAGAAAGGGAATCCAAGTGTCCTCATTCTGTCATTTATGCCATTCTACAGAAAAGAGATTTGTCTTCTGCCCTTTGTTTAAGGACCACCTATTATTTATTCAGTAAACATCTACTGAGCATCTATCATGTACCAGTGACTGGTTTAGATGCCCAAGAATGATAATGTAACAACACAGGAGACAAAAACTCCTTCCTCTAATGTTGCTCATTTTGTAGGTATCATTGGGGAAGAGGTAGACAAATAACGAACAGAAAAGTAAATTAAACATAGGATGGAGACCAATACTATGGAGAAACATAAGCAATAAGGGGTATAGCAACTACAAGTTTGGCTAATAGAGAATATTCAATTTTTAATTGATTGGTGAGCTAATGTCACAGTGAGGAAGTGGTGTAAAGACATGGAGGAAGTAAGGGACCCAGAGATTTTGACCCCTAGGGGAAGAGCAGTCCAGGCCAAAGGAATGGTGTGTGCCAAGGCCCTGGGCCAGGCACCATAGGTGATGCGGTAAGACAGGTATTAGGGGCTAAATTGTGTAGAGCCTGTGAGGACTTTGGCTATTACGCCCCATGAGATGAAAGCCACTTAAGGGCTTACGTAGTGGAGTGATAAGATCTGATTTACATTTTTTAAAGCGTTCTCATTAGTTATTTCATAAGAAAATGGAGGGTCTATGGTACAGGAAGGGTAGATTTGACAAGAGAAGGGAGAGGTCTGGAATCAAGGAAGAGAGAGGACTAGCGACCCAGGTGAGAAGTTGGTCAGTAAACATGATGAGTCAGAGGGCTGGAGAGGTCAGTAGCTTCCTTTGGGGGAGAAGAATTTAGGAAGAGGCTAGAAGGGGAGGGAAGATCAAAGTGCTTCCCAAAGCAATGTGGTTATTTAATCATACCTAGAACTCCTTGTTTCCAGACTTACCAATGATTTTATGACAGTGAAGACCATTTTACTTAATAGGTTTCAAGTTAAGACCAATTCAGATACATTGTACCACTTTATGGTGTTGCTTTGGCAAATAAAATTCATAATGAGAAAGTATATTCCTTATCATTGCAAAGGAATATATCTTTTAGTTAGTAGAGAAGAGGGAATATTTGGAGGGTGATCATTGTCAAGGATTTACTTATTTATGAGAAAATGGAGACAAAGAGTTAATAACTATTTTACTCACCATCCTCTCTAAAGTTACTTATTCAAGATTTCTAAAAAGTCAGACACACAACCATTACCAGCTCGAGCAGGGATTACAGGACTCTGGCTCTGGACTGACCCTGTCAGGCAGTCTCCAGCTTAGAAAGTCACTTCGTGACCCAATGTAACCAGTATTTATTTGGTTGGAGAAATTATCCTCAAGTGACTTATGGAGGTTTTGGAAGAATTACAGAAAAAACTCAGAAAGACTGAGAGCTATTTATGAATTTCTTTAAATGTTGATGTTCTCCAACTTTATTAGTTATGGGAAGCTATTTGGAAGTTCTGATGTTCTATGTCATGTGAAATGGATGTAAATGATTTGTGTGGATTTGGTCACACTCATATTTTCCATTCTTAGTGGCCCTGAAGAATCTTGAACAATGTCATTAAAGAGAGATT